AGAACCTGTTCCTCCGGACTTTCTGTGGTGGCAGCCCAATTAGAGTAAATTTTATCATCTGATTTCTACGCGTTTCTGTGGTGACATCGAAGGCCCCATCATGATTCTCTATTTCTGAGATTCCAAATTGGCTCGCTATTTGTTTTTTTGATACACCATACCAGTTGCAGTCTCATCACGCAAGGTGGGCATACTCCTTGTTGAAAGCCCTTCCGATAACCATTCTCCGAATTTCCGAAGTTCCGGCACCGATTTCATACAGTTTCGCGCTGAAGACAGTCAATATAGAGGACCCGTTGAAAAATTTGAATCGATCACTTACTCTCTCAACAGCCTTGAAGCTGGCATTTCCTCGACATATCCCATGCCACCGAGGAGCTGGATGCTGTCCAGGGTGCACTCTGTCGCTCTCTCGGCAGCATACAGGATGGCGCCGGCGCAGTCCTGCGTCTTGATCGTTCCATCCTCGTCAACAGCCCTAGCTGTGGCATATGTGTATGCACGCGAGGCCTGGAGCTTTGTGTACATGTCTGCCAACTTGCCCTGGATGAACTGGTTCTGGGCGATGGGGATGCCGAACTGCTTCCGCTGGTGGGTGAAGGGCAGAGCGACGTCCAGCGCAGCCTGCATGATGCCCAGGGGTCCGGCGCTGAGAACAAGACGCTCAAGGTCCAGACCCTCCATCAGAACTCTCACACCGCCGTTGATCTTGCCGAGGATGTTCTCCTTGGGCACGAAGACGGAATCAAAGTTGAGCTCGCCAGTGTTGCTTCCGCGCATGCCCATCTTGTCAAGCTTTCTTGCGCAGCTGAAGCCCTTGGTCTTCGTCTCGACAAGGAACGCCGTGACACCCTTGGAACCCTTTTCGGGCTCTGTCTTGGCGTAAACAACGATGACGTCGGCGTCGGGACCGTTGGTGATCCACATCTTGGAGCCGTTCAGGACGTAGCCGCCATCGACGGCCGTCGCCGTCGTCCTCATGCTCACGACATCGCTACCAGCCCCAGACTCGGACATTGCGAGCGCACCGACGCTCGTGCCGGCAATCAGGCCGGGGAGGTACTTCTGCTTCTGCTCCGGAGAACCGTTGAGCTGGAGCTGATTGACGCATAGTTGGGAGTGGGCAGCATAGCTGAGACCAATGGAGCCAGAGGCACGCGAGATCTCTTCCATGACGACGCAATGCGCCTGGTAGCCCATGGCTAGACCGCCAACGTCTTCATCGGCAGTCATGCCCAGGAAACCAGCCTCGCCCAGCTTTTGCCACATCTCATTGGGAAAGGCGTTACTCTTGTCCGTGTTCGCAGCGACTTCTTCTGTGATCTCGCGCCTTGTGAACTCCTGCACGCGCTCGCGGAGTTCAGTGAGGTCGGCTTGTGACGGTGCTTCAAATCCCTTGGGGTGTTTGGAGGAGTGGTGTCGGGTCTGGAGGGCGGGGGCGGCGAGGGGCCGCCATTGACGCGCCGGCCGCGCCAATGACCTGAATACTCTGACACTCGACATGGCTGTGAATGGTGCAAAAGAATTGAAAACTATGAGTTGACAAGAGGGAAATTGAAAAACAACAAGTTCTCCTACGGTTGATGATCCAAGTTACCTTAGCTTGACGCCGAGTTGGAGGTCCAACCGGGACAAGAAGGTGCTCGGCTAAGGGCGGCTTCTAGCGGGCCGAGGACAGCGACTGGACGTCACTGGAATGGTATCCCGTCAGCAAGCGAGCGGCCCTCGACCCTCTCCTTCCCGTCTTCAAGGCCTCCGTCGGCATATGGAGTGCTTCTTCTTCATACTTCGAACTGCCGCACCCTTGGATCTATCTTCGTACACGTCCAATTATGTCTTTCTCACGATCGTCAAGAGATGTGCTGCTTCTGTCGCGTCAATTGACCCGGCCGGGGCTCAGCGCACCCCGCCTCCCGCGAACCACCAGAAGCGTTGCGACCTTCACGCCGCCGCACCAGGCGAGCGCCATCTCCCGAATCCAGACCAATGTCGACCCGACGTCCGATGAGTACAAGGAGAACGAGAAGCACATGGGGGAGGTGATGAAGAAAATGCAGGACTTGACACGAAAGGTACACCTTGGGGGTTCTGCGAAGGCTAGGGAAAAGCACCTTGCAAGAAAGAAAATGCTACCCCGCGACCGAGTCACTGCATTGATCGACCCTGGCACGACCTTCTTGGAGCTATCGCCGCTGGCCGCCCATGAGCTTTACCCAGAGGCTGATGTCCCGGCAGGAGGCATCATAACGGGCGTTGGTGTCGTGGAGGGCGTGACGTGTGTGATCGTTGCCAACGACAGTACAGTAAAGGGCGGAACTTACTACCCAATCACGGTCAAGAAGCATCTGAGAGCACAAGCCGTGGCTCAGGAGAACAAGCTGCCGTATGAGTTCCATGATATACCCTCCCTCGCCAAACAAATCACTGACCGTGACTTAGTTGTATCTATATGGTTGACAGTGGCGGCGCCAACCTCCCCCACCAGGCGGACGTGTTTCCGGATCGTGACCACTTCGGACGCATCTTCTACAACCAAGCAAGGATGAGCTCCATGGGGATTCCCCAGATTTCAGTTGTAATGGGTCCGTGCACCGCAGGTGGTGCCTATGTACCAGCAATGAGTGACGAGAGCATCATCGTCGAGAACCAGGGCCACATTTTCCTTGCTGGTCCGCCACTGGTCAAGGCTGCCACTGGTGAGGTGATCAGTGCGGAGGAGTTGGGAGGCGGCAAGATGCACTCTTCTGTTTCAGGCGTGACGGACTACTTGGCAGTTGACGATGCTCATGCTATTACACTCGCGAGGCGGAGCATCAGCAACCTGAACTGGCCTGCAAAATCACCTTCAACAGCGGCGCCCGTAAAGGACTATGCCGAGCCGCTATACTCGCCGGACGAGCTTTTGGGTATCGCCAGCACCAACTTGCGGAAGCCCCTGCCCATCAAGGAGGTCATCGCCCGTATTGTTGATGGATCCGAATTCTCCGAGTTCAAGCGAGACTTCGGTTCAACCTTGGTCACCGGGTTCGCCCACATTCATGGCTATAAGGTTGGCATTGTGGCTAACGATGGTATTCTGTTTGCCGAATCCTCCGTGAAGGGCGCACACTTCATTGAACTTTGCGCCCAACGAGGGATCCCGCTGGTCTTCCTCCAGAACATCTCTGGTTTCATGGTTGGCTCCGCCGCCGAGCGTGGTGGTATCGCCAAGCACGGCGCGAAACTTGTAACTGCTGTTGCATGCGCCGATGTTCCCAAGTTTACAGTCGTGGTTGGAGGCAGCTATGGTGCCGGCAACTACGGCATGTGCGGTCGAGCCTACAGTCCCCGTTTCCTGTGGATGTGGCCGAATTCACGCATCGGTGTTATGGGCGGTGAGCAGCTGGCTGCGGTCATGGAAACTGTTGGCAAGGCCGACCCCGAGCTGAAGGAAAGGATAGAACGCGAGAGTGACGCGACGTACTCGTCGGCCAGATTATGGGTCAGTAATTGTGGTTTCCAAATCACGCAACATTTGCTAACCATGCTCTTAGGACGACGGAATTATCCCTCCCCAGCACACCCGGCAATACCTGGGTCTAGGCCTGAGAGCGGCTATGTCAGGCCGGAATGAGGTCAAGGCCGGTGATACCAAGTTTGGCGTGTTCCGAATGTAAAGAGCGTAGATTTTTGTCACTTAGAAAAGGGAGTGCAAAACAAGCCTTTTACTGTTATTTCATTGATAACTTTGATGTGTCTCCATACAATACTTTACCTTGTGCCGCCCAAGCTTTGCCGAGCTCGGTACAGATGTAAGTAATCTTGCCTGTTTCTTTACTGTATGGAAAGAACGTATGACGATCGATGACCGACTGCCGATCAAAAGCCCACAAACGAGCCATCAACCCCATCTTATTTACAATAGCTTACGTTTCAATAAGTGTCTTAGCTGGTTAATGGTGTTCTAGGCTCGTCCGGGTGCCTTGCATGCATTCCCGCCCTTGCACTCAACGGCGCGGTGGAGAACTTTTTTCGGGGCCCTGAAGATGGCAGTTTGGCAGACGGTGAGATTTCTCGCTCATGTTCGCAGAACTGGCATCTTTCTCGAAGCAAATTTCTCGAAGCAAAATCCCCGGCCGGAGCAGACTGCCCAACAGAGACAGGGCATGGCAACATACGGGGAGGCATACGGGGAAGATTTCTGCAACAGATCGGGCAGGAGCCAATCGCACGGAGCTTTCTCCGGAGACCCACCAGTCAAACCCTTGCCCAACGCTGGCGGTGAAAGCCCCGGACGTGTTGCACACCAGCCAGCCTTCTTCTCCTTTCCGTTGCCTCTTCAACCCATCACTCACATATCCCCATGTCTATGTATTTCATGACACCTCTCCACAAGTCTTGCAGATCAATCGTCAGCAAAATCGAACGTGGCCACAGTGACGGTCGTCCACGTGCTCGAATTCGTGTGACGTTTACGTCGGGTCTTTGTGTCCTACACGACACGTACTGATCGATTCTCCTAAAGACTTGTTCATCGCTTGTTCTACTGGCTTCGAGAAGCACGAAAGTACCTGACACGCCGCCTAGGTCTGGCCGAGGTTGAAGTATGGGATAGATGGTGTTATGGTGACACGCGACTTAACCTGCCGTCAAAAAAGAGTCTCCGGCCATGGCAGCAAGGATCCGATCTCATTCGCTTGGTAGTTGCAAGCCGGATATCTCACCACCCGGTCAGAGATGACTGATCATATTTCCTTCCGGTTATTCTCAACGTGGTGTGCATCGTGCCTCTCTTATTCCCAACAAGGCACCCTCACTTTTACCTTCTCTCCCAGGGCAGACCGCGATTTGTGGGCAACCCATGCAGTACACTCACACCTCAGTCTCACCGATCGTCAAACCATGCCTCACCGGTATGCTCTCACCGGGCTAGGCCCTGCAGTTTGTTCTTTTCACTTTTTTAATTTTCTCTAGGGCTACTAGTACCGATATGGGACCCGGATAGTGGGGTGAGTGACTTGATGCCGGCTATGGTGGGCGCAGCAGGAATGCGCTTTGTACCCTTTCGAGGCGTTATTTTTTCTCCATTTCTCTCTCTCTCAGGCCTTGGCCCGGAGATGACGATGGTATTACTGCATGGAACGACACCGGTCAGTGGAAAGATGTTTCGTGGTGCCGGAGGCTTGAGAGGGGCGTCAACTCCGAGAGGCTGTATGAAAGCAGACCGGTAGCTCGAGTGAGCCTCTTGCCAGCAGGCTCTCGTGATACGGTTCACCGCCATAAGATCAGGGGCGGGTATATGAAGAGGGAAACCCTAGTCGGTGAGCTGGCTCGATCTGGTTTCGTTGCCCTAGACTAAGGCAGTTGCCGAGGAGAGTTCTTTGTTCCAGATCCGGGCCACCTCAAAACCAGACAGCCTCATCCTTCTCAGGCCGAGATTCATATCATCAGCCACCTTCATTCTTCACATTCTCATTATCACCTTGTTACTTCAACATAAATCATCCCAAAAACGATATAGCTTGTTCATCGCCACAAGTTGAGACACAATGGCGCCCTCTGCATTACTGGAAGAGCCCCAGATGTATGCGCCGACCATATCGGAGATGGCACGCGGCCGGAAGTTCTATCCTTCCAATAAGTTCATCATCAGCTGCGGCACCGTCACAATCGACATGCGAGCACGGCGCGTGCTGCTAATCTACAACAAGAGACACCACATCTACCAAATGCCCAAGGGGCGGAAAGATATTGGCGAAGACTTTCTAGCAGCCGCGTTACGCGAGACACGCGAGGAGACGGGCGTCGCGGTGAAACCAGTCACCTTGAGACTCAGCACGAGAGCTACCCCCGCGGGTGGACCCTCCGGTGCCCCGGAGGTGTCTGACGAGATCACCAACACGGAACCTATAGCCGTATGTCACTACCCCGACCCGGCTACCGGTGCTATGAAGATGGTATTTTACTTTGTTGCAGAAGGGAATTGCGATCTCGGGCCGGAGGGTTGGACTGGAGAAGACAGAGTCAAGTTTGATGTTAGCTGGGTCGACGTCGAAGACGCCGCGAACAAGTTGGCGTTCAAGGAGGATGGCATGGTAGTCACCAAGGCTCTGGAAGACTTGAGAAACTCGGGGTATGATATCTGATTTTTGGAGTGTCAGGTCTCTCTATTGGGTTGGAAAAGTTGGGCGTTGGCCATTGAAAAACGGGAGGCAGGATTTACGGGGGGTCATATGGCTTGAGCACAAACACAGCGGCATATCGTATATGCATTGTCGGGATTTCCTCCCTTTTTCGGAGTTGAAAACGTCAATAGGCAGGGTGACTTGGACCAAATTGTTCAAACGAGTTAGTTTTCAATTGAAATCCGTTTTGTTTCTGACATCTGACCGTATAATATCAACCTAGGTTCTCAAGTGGCCTTCTTGATAGTCCGATGGTCCCCGATGAGAGCCACCGACCCGAAGTATCGGGAACCATCCCAAGTACTCATTACCAAGACCAAGGGTTCCAAATATGAAAAGAAAAGAGAAAACATGACGAAACGGTATTTCGGCCGCGGACCAACTCCCGAACATGGCAGGATTCTGACAGCTTGGCGGTTGCAGGGGCCTCCCATCCATCACGGATGCAATATCCAAGTTCCCCCGGCGTCATGCTTCCTCCAATTCGTTCAATCTGACAAACCAGGACGTTGGGTCTTGCAGACGCTTTGGACGGACTTAGGTGCAGGGCTGCAGCGGTCCAGCCCACCGCCGCCACGGCCGCTTCCCTGCCGTTAAGACATGGTCTGATTGATTGGAGGTGTGCGGGTGGAAGCAGCTTACGGGCTGCCTAGGTATTTTGTAACTCATTCGGGGGGGGGGGGGGGCGCGGGGGGCACGGGCACGGCGCCGGCCGGCCGAGGGGGTGTCCGTGCCGTATAAGATGGTTTGGTTGGTTTGAGGGGTGCGGGGGGTGACGGGTGTAGGGGCTGCGCAGGGTTTTTGTACCGCTTGTGGGGGGGGGGGGTTATTGTTTACTTTCAATTCATTGCGTCCATATCTTACATTGCCGTCTCCGTTGGCGCCGTTGCCATCCTCGCTAATGTTCCTGCTAATGTTCCTGAAAACCCGCGCAGACTTTAGATAGAAGAGTCAAGGAACGACACGGCCAGACGAGAAGGTCGAGACACTTACTGCGATACCTAGCTGTATCAAAAGTCCTTCCGGCGGTTCTTCCCCGCACAGCAAGTGCAATTTGTGTCTCGGGGAAACTATGACTTCCGAAGCCGGCCGGCCGAACTCGGTACCGGCACCGGCATTCATCAATTAGTGGGGCCGGTTAGATTAATCACTGGCGGGGTCGACCCGCTTGCCGAATTGATTCTCATTGAAGCATTGGTGACATCACCCCCACGAAGACCCCCTCCCCAAGCTCCCGACCCTCATTGCGACCCCTCCATGGAGATAGGTAGGTAGTCAAGGACGGCGGGCTTACTGTATACGTCAGCGAAACGGAGCAGCTCTCAACGCCTCCCGTCCCCGAACCCCGCCAAACGTAGCTTAATCCGTCATTGACTCTCCACTCAAGAAACCCGCACTGCAACATAGGTACCCAACCTTTCGAGCATAATAAATCCGATGTCTTCCCACACTGCCAAGGCCACGCGTTCCGCTTCTCAAGCTTTATCTCGATCGTCGTCCCTGATCCCCAAACAACCTCACTCACCCACCCCTGCGATAGCTTCCCGATCAACAACATCAATAACAAAGAGCTTTGCGACTTGCTGCAGCTCAATCACCAAACTATCACCTCTCACACAACAAGTCCACAGGTCGTTTCCGACGCCAGCCGCCAAGATGTCGACCATGCCAGCTCAGCACGGCCACAGCGAGGGATGCTGCAACATCCCTCCTGTCGTCTCCAAGGGCTACGATGCCAAGGGCAGCTACGAGGAAATTGGAGGAAAGAAGACTTGTAGGTTAATTATAGGTCCTACCTATTCAATGCTTGACAATGCTAACGTGACCAACCCTGCAGACGTCACCGGTCCCGCCGACGCGAAGAAGGCCATCATCGTCACCTTTGATATCTTCGGATTCTTCCCCCAGACGCTCCAGGGAGCCGACATCCTGGCCACCAGCGGCGCCGAGAAGTACCGCGTCTTCATCCCGGACTGGTTCGCTGGCGAGCCTTGCCCTATCGAGTGGTTCCCTCCCAACACCGAGGAGAAGCAGAAGAACCTCGGCGGCTTCTTCCAAAAGTTCCCGCCCCCCAAGATTGCTGGGGAGACCCCCGACTATGTCAAGGCCGTTCAGTCAAAGTACTCGTCCATTGAGTCCTTTGCTACCATTGGTGTACGCTTCTTGTGGCTCCATCTCAAGGCCAACTGTATGAAAACTGACATAATCGCAGTACTGCTGGGGAGGCAAGGTCGTTTCCCTCGTGGCCTCTGGTGACAAGAACCCCTTCAAGGTCGCCGCCGAGATCCACCCCGCCATGGTCGAGGCCGATGACGCCAAGGGCATCAAGATCCCTCTTATCCTGCTCGCTTCCAAGGACGAGCCCGAGGAGGATGTCAAGAAGTTTGAGGCCAACCTCAACGTCACCAAGCACGTTGAAACTTTCAAGGACCAGATCCACGGATGGATGGCCGCTCGCTCTGATTTGGAGGATTCTAGAGTCAAGGAGGAGTACACTCGTGGTTACAAGACTGTCCTTGAGTTCTTTGGCAAGAACTTTTAAGTTCACCGGTAGATATGGCAATACTCACCTATGATTAATGAGATACATGGAGCAAACTACGATTTCCTGCAGTATAGGGAGCATCTGGAGACATTGGTGGAGACCATTCTTAACTATACATTGAATGCTGATCTCCATCCCTTTCTTGCTCGACCCGATGAAGACACAACCCGAGTAGAGCGGAAGGACAAAGTCCCTTGAACTAGTACCACGCCGATGAAATATCAATTAGTTGTTGCAAGCCAACGTCTACTGAACAATTCGGGTTTTTTCATTATCATCAAGCTACCAAAGACAATACAAACGTAATCCTACAATAATTGACCAGGAAAATAGTGCCATACCAGCAACTCATCCCTAAATCTCCAACGGCTTTTGGACAAAACCTCGACATTATCGGATTCTGCTTTTCCCCACGTAGCCCCACACTCCAGTATGATCTTGAATATTGCCAGATACCCGAGATCAGCTGCAAAATTCAATGGAGTTATCCCTTTGAACTCCTTGTTCACGTCAACGTTTTCCCGACTTGATATGCACCGGACATAACTTGTAAAGTTGGCTCTGATGGCTGTCATCAAGAGTTCTTGGCCATCGAGGCACCATGCGCCAAATCTAGGATCGGCAAGGAATAACTCGATGATTTCTTGCCTGTTTTCGAGGCCCAGCTCTGAATGCATGGCGTACCATGGAGGTGTTTGACCATGAATGTCTATTGCGCCAGGATTCAGGTCTGTCATTTCAAGCAGCGACTTGAGTTCGTCTGCAGAGCCACGCAGGGCAACCTGAAATAGCATGGCCGTGCTCTTGCTGTTGTCTCTGTGATTGACATTATGGCCGCTAGCATCTTCTCCCAACAGTGGGCGAATTTGCCTCAGACTGAAAGCACTCTGCGTGCCTCCCCAAAAGGGAGTGTAGCCACGCTGATCTCTGGCACAAACGTCGGCACCGTGGACTATAAGAGCTTCTGCATTCCTTTTATTGCCGTCGTGAGTGGCCCAGAAAAGAGGAGTCCGCCCTAGATTGTCCACGCTCTCGATTTGACCTTTATGCTTGATGAGGAGCTGTAAAGTAGGCTCGTTTCCAGAGCTAGCAGCCCATGACAAAGCTGTCCGACCGTTCAGATCTCGGGCCTCGATGTCTGTCCCATGTCCTATGAGCAACTGCACCAAATGGACATTCCCTCGACGAGCAGCCAACAACACAGGAGTCATGCCCTGAGAGTCCCGAGTCCCGATATCAGCCCCGTGATGGAGGATGACCTTGATGACTGACTCATTCTCAGCCAAAGTAGCGAGGAGTAGAGGCGTTCTTTCGTTAGCGTCCTTAGTCTCAATATCTGCCCCATGTTTCAAAAGGAGCCTCAAGGCCGCAACTTTCCCTGTGACTGTAGCCCGAGATAATGGAGTTCTTCCATAATTGTCGCGAATTTCTTTCTGGAAGCCATTACGCAAGAGTACCTCGAGGGTTTTTGTAAGCCCATTTGAAATAGTCCCCACCAAGGGATTCCAGCCTTCGGCAAGTCTATTAATCTCGTCCTCCCTTGACTTCATCTCGTATGGATATGGCTTAGAAGCCACCAACCACTTCATTTCGTTGGCATGGTCCAGGGGATTCAAAGGAATCATGCCACGAGCGTGATGAGCTCTCAGCAACAGCGAGAATGCTGCGGATGCCCAATCGTCGTAGCTTTCGCAGTACCAAGAGGTGAACAGACATTCCATGGCAGCAAGCCAACCAGCTCTAATAGTATATGCGGAGAGAATCGAAGCAGGGCTGCAGCTTTCGCTACTTCCCAGGCCCATCACAGAGCCAGGATGTCCTTCCATTGTGGAAGCCGAATCGGAATGCGAGTTGTGCTGAAGTAAGATGTTGACGATTGCTCTTTGTTCCCCTTTGATAGCCCCCTCAATGATCGAGGTACCAAACGTTCCTTCGAGCTCAAAGGTGATTGTCTTTTTCGCACAAAAGTTGACAACAGTTTCAACGACGCCCACATGCCCTGCCCCGACAGCCATTCGAAGGGTTGAACGGACCAACGGAACTGACAAAGTGTGCGAACAGGCTGTTCTCGGCAATTCCGCCTGCAATGCCAGTCCCAGTGGATGTGTGCTCGTTTCTAGCGTGCCGCTGTCGAGGAAGAATGTAACAAGATCTGCATGACCTTGGCGAGCTGCTACCCATATTGCTGTCTTTTCATGGTCGTATGGCGAGTATGCTTCGTGTATCAGAATAGCTCCCGTGTCGAAAACCTTGCGGAGACCGAACCACGCTCCCAACTGAGCTGCTGTCTCAAACTGCATAAAGCCCATCTGATTCATGACCTCAAAGGCCTTTTTGAGCATTCTGTGATCCCGCAGAAACTCGACAACGCCATTCGGTACGGTAGAGCTATCACATGCATGAGCCCCCCAATGGACAAGCGCATAGTCGTAGTAAGGAACACATGCGATTCGATAGTCTTCACGCCTCCCTGGCCAACGAGCATCTTCGCTGACTTGGAGTACATTCTTGGATGAGAGATAAAAGACAGATGTAGTCGCGATTTCCGAATCCATTTCGGCGAACAGTCGGGACCTTCTTTCGTCAAAGTATTCCTGCGTGGTCTGATGGACGAGCCTGATGATGCCAGTCTCCTCATCTCTTGTGACGAGACCTGCGCAAACTGATAATATGGTATCAAAAGAGGTAAGATCATCCTCTTCTATCTCCTTTCGGTCTTCTGCAACTGCGAGCGCATGTTGAAGCTCTACAGCAGTCAAAGGCCTTTTGGCGCATGTAATCCAACCGAGGACTCGAATTGCAAGCTCACGACGATCTGGTGGTTGTGCTCTTATTCTTCCCAAGGCTTCGTCGTAGATGCTAGAGTATGCAGCATTGCCATTGGGAACTTGATTGATTGCTTTACGTAGCGCCGTCACGTTAATTTTCACAGAAAGTGAGTCTAGAAACAGCTGGGCCAACAAAAACCTGGGGCACACGGTTTAGCCAGTGATACGGTCGCAAAATATTGAGAAATCGCTATGACTTACATGCCCCTTGCAATCCGGATGACCCCATTTTTGATCTCTTCTTGAAGGTCACGGCGTTTCTTGACGAATTCCTGCATATCTGGAATACGGCCTTCCACATAGCGTCTCAGGTCGTTGTCAGTGGCTCGAATTGCCAAGGCAACACCGAGATCAAATTCGGGTAATTGAATAATATCAGGAACAGGTCTTGAGGTTACAAAAATGTTCGCTGATTGATGTTTCTGTAGCCGAAAGACTTCTTGAAGGAGTGTTTTGAGGCTGGACGAGTCACACTCATCCAGGGCATCCACCACCACGAACAGCCTCGAGTAAAGCCGAGCTATGGTGTGTAAGAGATCGATTGTCTTACTTAAACCCCTGGACTTTTGGCCCTGGTGACTTCTGTACATTGCCTTCACGCTTTCCGGAAAAGGCAGCCGTGATCTGACAAGTTGTCTGACTAGACTTGAGATGAGAGCGTGAGCGTCTTGTCTTTCTTGGCTTCTGAAGTTGCAAAAGATGAAGGCTATCCCGACATTTGCATCGCGGAAGTGGTGAGTCAGCTTGTCAACCACTACAGAGGTCATTATTGTTTTACCAGCCCCGGGCATCCCCTGGCAAAGCAGTGTTTGACGTTTTGTTGATATCCAATGCTGAAACTGAGCGGTCTCTAGTAGCCACACGGCAGTACCCCTCTGTCTGCGGGAAAAGTAGTCTTCTTGCTGTGCTGAAAAATCGACGGGGGTAATCCAATCAAGTATTTCCTGTTGCTTCTGGATGACTTGCTCGTCGCGCACCGAGGCCGCGATCTGCTGAGTTGCGTGAATGGTTTGGCTACCACATTGTTAGTTTTCCATTTTGAGTTAAGCGACGACCACATGCAAATTCGATCGCATGCAAGACGTACGGCTTACCTGTCTCGACTGTTTCTGATCACTTCTAACAGCTGGACTTTCAACAATATCCGTGATCTGAGTGTCTGGACCTGTGCGGGATCCAACCTGAATCTGCTAAATGCCACTGAGGGATCTAGCTTGGCACGTTTCCCCGGTCGGTTTGCAGTTTCTATGCTACTAGTCTTCTCTAACATGTCTCCCAAGTCGTCCAGTATCTTGGAACTCCCTTCCACTAAGTCGGAAAGATGCTGTTTCGCGTCATCCTCGTACTGTTCCCTTTCACGGTTGATTCCCTCGAGAACGAAGACAAGAGACTTGAAGCTGTCAAAGCTTACTGTAAGTTGCTGCTGACTTTTGGAATACAATCAAATTTTCTTGAAGACCTACTCTTGTGTTAAGGACCGAAACTCAGCAGGTGCGGCCGCAAAGCGCTCCTGGTATTTCTTTGCCTTGTCGATGACAGTAATGAAATCCCCGAGACTGAAACCAAAGCTCATTTCAACCAGTCTTGCTGTTATCAGAGATTGTAACAGAAAGTCTATTAAGTGGCCAATTGATGGACGTCTGAAGAATGCTGTTTACGGGTTCTTCATAACTTCCACTTGAGCGTCTCTATTCCTTCTGATGTTGTGATTGTCGGACTTGCTGGTCTTACCTTACGGAACATGGAAAGGAAGAGACCGAAGAGAGTGATGGAGGGGAAGACAGAGGAACAGATCCGTCGGTAGCGTGCCTAGGTAAGGGCGCGCAATGCTTTCACGACTGAAGGCTTTGTCTTGATTCAAGGTGGTGTCTCAAGCCTGCTGCCCAAGATGTAGGTGAGACTTGACTCCAATTAAGCCACCTGCACTCGGGACGTATCGGGCCGCCTACATGTACTGCTGTGTCCGAATTGGCAATCAGTTGTGATTGGCGAACAGATATCGTCATGTATGGGGACGAGGCTCTGGGCGAAGCCCTTCCCTTCATCAGCTCAGAGATCATGAGATAGACTAAAGCTTCTGGTATAATAAATGCGAGTCCATGTTTGTACAAGTTACTGCTCTCAAATACGCGGGCGATCAGTAAAAATTAAACTTTAAGCTAAATGAGTTGGAGAACAACTCCTAACCATAGGAGCATGTACTTACCATCCTCTCTTAAGATGAAAGAGCAAGCTCGCTGTCCATTACTCTATAATTTGAACGTAATGCCACCGACCTTCAACCCACCGCCGCCTCCGCTTTGGGGAAACAGTCACAAACCCCTTGCCCTGAGCCAGCGTGATACCGGCTCCATACTTCAACAACACCCCAAGGGCCCTATCATCCTTTCTTTCCAAAGCATACGCGACAGCCGTCTTTCTCCTCCCATCGGGGCGATTCACATCAACATCGTCTCTGCCACATAGAAACTCCACGAGGTCCGCTGCTCCAGCCGTAGCGGCAAGATGCAACAAACCCCTCCCTTCCCCATCAACATCCTCAATCCTCACCCTATTGTCCTCAAGCAACACGAACAATGTATCCGTATCAGGTACGAAGACCCGGCCAGACCTAATCCATGCACAGAGAGCATACCACAAAGGCGCCCGAAGATCCTCGTCTTTGAGGTTGACGTCTATGCCTGGAACCGCCATCAGCAGGCGGGCCATCTCCGTGTTGGTCCTTTCCGCGGCGTATGATATCGTAGTTCTACCTTTTGAGTCTGCCAGGTTGACGTCGGCTTTGTGGTCGAGGAGTACCTTGACTGCGGCCAGGTTTCCGCGCTGGGCTTGCACGCAGAGGGGAAGGGTCCCTTGACTGGACATCGTGTTCGAGTTCGCTCCCTGCTGGAGAAGGTTCTGTATTTCGCTCAAGGACCCCTCATCGATGACTTCGTGGAGTCTTACGTCCAGGGCGGTCTCGGCACTCGAAGCTTTCATGCTGCTTTGCCCTTGCTCAATAGGCCCCGAATTATGTGCACTCAGAGGCATCTCTGTCGTAGAGTCGCCGACGTCGATCCATCCCTGACTGATGGGTTCATGGGGCTTCGAATTCAACGTAATACCCACGTGAGGTCCACCGGGATCAGCCGGGTCGTGGTCGCCGACAACTTCCTGGAGTTGTCGATTTAAGGTGACATTTATACCGGAACCGTATACCTCGGGCTTGATCGCAGGCGCTACTTCAACCAACTCACGCCGCCGTGCTTCCGTCTCCCAAACCTCGGGCCTCGTATTGATCTCACGAACCATCGTCGGTGTTGCTGAAGGGAACTCGAAAGTCAGAAATTCATTGGAGACTGATTCACGTCCAAGGGGCTTCAAGTGGCTTACTTGCTGCTGGTTTGCTATGTTACCACGGCTGAATGTGCGCACTCAATGCAGGAAGTTCAAGAGACAAAAACGAAAAGCACAAAATCACAGTCCAAAGCGTCGCCAGCTCGATTTTGTTGGGTCGACATGAGACAGCCTCGCCAACGACTGACACACCCATACGCACCCTCAAGTAATCTAGTAGACGCATACATCCGGCCTATTGTAAGGCAATTGGACCAACCCTACACCCCTTCACACCTTCACGCCCCGCGATTCGTCCATCCACCGCGCCCCGATGTGCAGTTTACCGCTTTGAAGGTGGTTACACACCAGGCAGCTACCAGCTTGGTTTTGCTCCACTTAATCAAGCGCGGGGAAACATCTGGCGGCGCGGGCGAAGATAAAAGGTGCTCTTCACAATAACTTGGCCGCTCATTGTGGCGGCGTGGCCTTCAGGCACGTCATACCTGCATCACGCAAGGCGCAGCGAGCCTCGTCTCTTTCAGAACCCAATATACAGTACTAGATTCAAACATCATTGAAGACAAGCATAATGTATACAGTTTGGCTTGTGCTATACCACAAGCCACCTAGAGCTAGTAGGTTCAGCAAAACAGTGAACCTGATCCGAAACCCGCAAACCGGCAAGACTTTACATATAGAACTTCGAGTCTCGAAACCAGTCGAGAAGACTTTCGCTACTTCAAGTGACAGGTGCTAATGGTATCTGGTAGTTTGTTATGAAAGTAAGGACAGTTGCATCGGTTCTCAAGCTATGCAACTCGCCCCACACCCCTGCGTCGCCTGTTGCTGTGATTAACTACCTAGTCTTGTCTTCCTGTCTGTAACAAGTTTTTAGTTATCGGCTACGGGCTCGCCGGAAAATATCTCAATAAGAACCGTGACGTTTCTGTCTTGATCGCCTTGCAAAACTACCTCGCACACCAGCACCACATCATGGCACATACTACGATATCTGAAGACATTGTAAGCCAGGAAGAGCAATAATATGTTAAAGATCGACTGGAGAAATGGTTATATTGCAGGCCTATGGTGCTAGTTTCACAGTTATTAGCCCATAACAAGTGAAGCGGGATAGGCCAAGCGCTGACCAAAACTCTGTTCTCCTCAATACAGATCTTCTAGCGGTTATCCCACTTGCCACCATCTACCCACAACCTTTTCAGTAAACAACTTTCCGAACAATCATTATACAATGACATTCGCAACTGATTCTTTTGAGACAGGTGCACTCGTAGCTAAGTCAATGGGCTACTGTCGCAACGAAGCAGGCGACGGCGGAAGCATCGGCCGAACCAGGTTTTGCTGCGACTCGCAATTCAACTCCCGCTTCTCTAAGGTCAGTTGAGATAATGACACGTTTGTTTTGTCCTCGAAGAATGAACAAGGAAGCAATATATTACTAGGGAATCACGTAGCCTGGCATTTGTAACATTCCTGCGCATATGTGTCCTGGCATCAGCGAATGCTGTGGAACCGATTTCCACGTCTTCCACACTTGGTCCAACGAGTTCACTTGTGAGAACAACGCGGTAAACAAATTTAATCATGGTGTACGCTGTTGTTGTTGATTATACTAATGGGCTGGTTGGACTAAAGATAAATCTACACGACGTTGGCTGTGTTGAATCCATTTCTTTCGTGACGTACAACTCGCTTGTAATGGTGCATCTACCAGCCCAACCCGCTGCGCTTGATTGAGGTCAATTCCCAATACAACCATCACCGTCGCCGAGGTAGTTGCGGCGGCGGTAGAACTTTTGGCTGCACGAATCGTTGCATTCGTCTGGCCGACGACCCTGGAAGAAGCATCGTAGGCATCTTCACACAATACATCTCAAGGACACATCACAATTTCTTTTTTTTTTTGTTCGTTTTTCAATTTCACTGGCTAAGCACCTAAGTCAAATCAATAATCTCGGGCTCTGCTTTCCGTTTCTCGCCAGCAACAGGCGGCGGAGGCCGGCTCGGCCCAGCAGCTGCAGCCATACTCATCCCATTCAGACCAGACGGCGGCGGCGGCTGCAACGGCCCACCGGCGTTCCCCGTCATTGGCGCGAAAACCCTAGGGCTAAAGTGTGTCTCTTTGGGCACCGGTGCCGACCCGTTCATCGGTTGGAGACCATTCATGGGCGGTGGAGGGAATGCATGCTCAGCTGCAGGCACATTGAAATGCCCCAGCGGTGGGCCCGGTGCAGACCCCACCGCCGTGAGTCCCGGAGCCGGAGCCGGAGCCGGAGCCGGAGCTGGTACCCGAACCGGAACCGGAAAAGGTGCCGGCATATACGTCGCACCACCCGGTCCCGACGCCAAATTCACCGGTCGCTTCCACAACGCCGTTGCGATGGCGGGGTAGTCTTCACCCAGCAACACCCCCAACTTGGTCTGATCAAACGACTGAAACGTCTGCTCGGCCTCCTTCGCCCGCGCCTGGTGCCTCGCGTCCTCCGTCTGCCCCACCTTGGTCACCACCATCGTGGCCGGCTGAGGCCCGCCCCGCCCTTCGGTGACATGTGTGACCCGGAGGCCGTGCTCCTCAATCACCCTGTGCACATGGTGACGCTGCCTCTTAGCGCCAATGTACAAGCGACACACTGTCTGGCGCGGGTCCGCGAGGAAGGCGTCGAGTTTGCTACAGTCGCTGCAGCAGCAGAACTGCACGAGGTACATGCCGCTGCCGGGCTGGCCGGACGGCGGGCGGGCGTATCCTGCGCCGACGTAGTTATCGCGGTAGGCCTCGAGGACGGCGGCGAAGATTTGTTGGTAGCGCGGGGTGTCGAGGGGCGTCTTGGTGGCCTCGAGGACGGAGAGGAGTTCGCGTAAGAGGGGGATCCAGAGGACGGGGAAGTCGAGTGCATGCATATTGGGGGCGTGGCTGACGATTTTGAGGGCCAGCGGCAGGGCTAGGTCTTCCTGTGGAGGGGAGGACTCAAGCTTGATGAGGCCGGAGAAGAGGTCTGCGAGGGCGACGTGGTTCAAGGCGAGGTGATGGTCAGGGGGAGGCGGCAGCGGCGCCCTCTGGTCATATCTGAATCTCGCGGCCTTGTGGACCGGGTCATCTGCCCTGGGGCCGTGGACTGTGTTGAGGTCGAGCATCGAGATGAGGTTTTTGGCGAGTCTCTTGTACAAGTTGACGGCCTGGGTTACCGGAAAGGCCTTCCTTCTGGCGGAAGAGAGCAACGCTGACAGGAACTCAAGTGCAAAAGCTGGGGTGCGACCGAGAAGCTCCTCGATCAAGGGCATCGCACTGCAAGCGGGAGTTAGTGACGCTTACGCCTGGCGGTGTTTCTTTCTCTTGGAGGAAGCTTACACAGAGGAAAGCCATTCAAAGTCGGCGTATTTCTCGGCACTCGCTACCACTGCCAGACCATCTGGCCTGAGAAAAGTTGTAGTATCGGCAATGACCTTCAAACTTTTGGTCAATGTATCTCGTGCCCATTCCCGAATCTCGTCAGACAAGGGTTGATCGATAGGGGCAAAGGCCTCAATCGCCTTACAGCTCTCGAAGAAGTGTTGATCCATGGAAATGGTGGAGGCCAAACTGAAACGTCGACGACGTAGTTAGAATGAGACGTGACAGCATGGCAGAAGACTGAATAGAAACGCACCCCTTTTTGATTTGGGAAAAGGCCACCCTGCCCTCCGAGACCTGCGCATAAAGCCACTGATAATAGTCCGGGCGCAGTGCTCCGCGCAGATCCTTTTTGCTCTTCATTTCGGCGACCTTTTCGAAAAAGTCCCACTCCTCCATAGCCACAGCGGACCGCAACACCTTGCTCATGATATCGGCCTGGACCATGGGCGTGATCCAGCTAGGATGAAGGAACGACGTGCCCCAGATGTATTTGAGGGTGTCAAAGGACGACTTGCTGTTCGGCGAAGCCTCGAGTATCGAATCCGTGAGGTAGTTGAGTAGCAAGACGATGTTTTCGTCAGTGTCCAATTGTGATGCCATGCCGTTTTTGAGATATGAAGCGACTCTGTCTCGGCGGATGATGAGCGCGGCCTGAGTGTCCCCCGTTAGTGAGAAACCTCCGGGGGAAAGTGGTAAACAGTAAGCTTACCGTTACGCAGTACCAATGGGTAGCTGACGGTCCCTGTAGTTCAACTTTGTCAACATGTCAAATGTACCTCACACTCATTCCGATTGCAAACCCACCCAGTTGCCCTGGTATCCCTCATATTCTTCCTGCCGTTTAACGCCGTCAAAGAAATCATCTGCCTGGAGAACGTTGCCGAAATCCAACTCGATATCACGAAGTATTGGGCGTCCGCTCAGATCCACGAGCACCTTGACAGACAAGTCCGTATCAGTCATCTCCTCAATCTCATAAGGCTGCTCCGGTGCCACACCATCCGAGTCGTCTCCATCTTCTTCATAGTCATAGTCTTCATACCGCCTGCGCCCAAGTCGATTATACGAAACCGGCGCAACGTACTCAAATGATGTAGACCCAATCTCCCTCTTCTCCGTCAGGGCCAGAAGCACGTCAAACTCGAGCCCTGCGGAAAGTTCCTGGAGCGTCTGCACGACGGCCGCGTCCCGTCCCTTGAGCGCCTTCGTCGAGATGCTGGCCTCGGTGTACTCGTGGTCCAGGCCGTAGTAGACGTGGTCGGCCTCAAGCTCGGGGGATTTGAGCCACCTCCGGAGGGTGTGCCGCAAGCCGTGTGTCTGTTCCCTCTGGAGTCCCGCAGACGGCTGTGGAGCCGCTGGGTCGACCGTGAGATTGTACGTGAGTACGACGCGGTAGCCTTCCGTGACGGGCAGGACCTCATGGTTGACGTCCGAGAACCAGCACGCAAAGTGCTGGCCAGACCCAGATGTCTTGAAAGTCTTGGTCTCCCCGCAGTGCTTCACGACCACGTCGCCTCCTTTGTGGCTGCAGGGAAGGCAAATGACGAGCGTCCCAAACATGCCGGGACATTTCTCAGTGCTGTGTCACCGGGGGTCAGCCATTTAACACATCATCTCGCACGCTTGTTTCCACACACAAACGCATGCACACACAAATAGAGACACTCAAAAAGACCTACTCGGTATGAGACTTGAACATGGCCCCCTTTTCGTAAATCAACAGCTTATACAGCTCCGCATTCACAGGCGTCGTGACGCCCAAATCAGCAGCCACGACGGAACAAATATTTTGCAAATCCGCAGCCCAGCGCGGGTTGCGAAGCTCAAATTGGCCGGGTTCCAGCTCCCACGTGTTGCGCACGGCGGTGTCGACGATGGTCTCGCTGCCTTTACCAAAGGGGGCGTGGACGGCCACTTCAATCATCCTCCGCACCTCCCCCTCGGGAAGCGGCAGGTGCGGCAGGTGCGGCAGGCCGACGGTTCCGACATGATGGACGAAGAGGCCCGGGTTCACGTGCGCCAGGGGGTGGAACGAGGCAAAGGTCCCCCGGGTCTGGATGCTATCGAGCTCGCGGCGGAGGTCTTGGTTAAAAGAGTCTTCCCACTCTTTCGTGAGGGTGCTACTTGCCACGGATGCTGCGTCTTCGTGCTCGTGGCCGTCTGTGGCGTCCTCTGCTCCGTCTGGCCTCGCAGTGACCTCGTTGTCGTTGTTGGTGGCCTCAGTGGTAACCGTCTGAGTGGCGATAGTACCAATCGCTCGGGGCTCTTCCTCAGCCTTAGTGACTGAGGCCACTGCGAGTGTTTGGGGAGGCTCAGACTGAATAGCCGCAGCCGGCGTCTGTCTCTTGGAATCCATCACAACATCCAATGTCAGAGAATAGGTCACATAGAAAGACCTCTCAGAATCACCCACTTCCATAACTTGAACTACTCGACGACGCGACGCGTTAAGGGGATCATTAACTAGTGGAGAACCCCCCTGGTGAGTACGTTAAGTACAAGTGAGGCGTGGGGGGGTACAACGTCCATAATCGAGACTTGTCTCGGCTCGGAGACTTATGGAACGCCGGATTAAGAAAAGATTGACAATTAGCTGAATTTAATCATAGATATAGAGGGTTTTAGATGCATCCGTCAGCCAAATTATGAAGACAACTTGTCAGAGAAATAAGAGAACCTGTCTAGATAATATGGCCATCTTCCAGCGTCGTGGAAAGGTACTCATGGCGCCGTATCCGTACTCGGTACATCGCTTAGATACTCTCCACTTTTTCCCGCAGCAAAAGTCTCCAGTGCGCTCGCTACCCTGTCCCTCGTTTTTCGAGCTCCTGTCTGGTCCGTGCATGCCGTTTCTCGGTGAATGTGTGGCGGTAGCTCTCTAGTAAGTAGTGTTCAAAGCACGACGACACAACCACTCTCTTCAAGCCTACACAAGCTATGTCCATCGGCCTCTGAGCTGCTGCTGACAGAGATGAAACTCACATTGCTCGAATGTCCCAGAAACTCATACAAAGTCCTCTCTGTTGAAGGTTTTGATATCATTTGAATGACGGCATGCGTCTCTACGTGAAAGGCCGTTGCTGTGTGGGACAGGCCATCACCCCTCCACTTAACCCAGTATTGTCATTGGCCTCATGCCCAACCAACTTGCACCAAAAACCCTCACAATCATGGGACGGTAGCCAAAGTAGAACACACAGCCTTATATTGCCGAAGTATTTCTTCCCGATTGTGCTTGCTATCCATAACCCATGCAATGTATTCCGTAATGGAGCCTTGTGTTTCATTCCTGTTCCCGTTTGTCCTATCCTGTGCAGCTATACCCTAGAACTGCAGCCTTCTGCAGATGAATCTCAATCATGGACAATTTCAAGAGGGTATCCCAAACTCCTTCTGCGCAAATCCAGGAATCAAGTCCCAAGTTAACACCCCCCAAGAATGACGTATACTGTGCTACCGCCCGTTCAAAGACTGAAAAATCAAAGCTATGAAAGAAGAAATCCCCTTCTTGTTTCGGTGTTGGGTATGAGAAAGGTCATTGGCCGCTTGATCCGTGTTTCATCAGGCCGTTTTGTTTTTTTCCCACTGGGTATATCCGAGGTTGTGTATGTTTGCATGTTAAAGAAAAGCGACGAAAATCGTCGGCCTCTTTGCAAAATCCGTAAATCGCGAGGTCCAAGCTGAGGCGATCAGTTTTGCTTTGCTAAATCAATCGCCGAACGCGTATGCTGCAAGACTGTACATAGAAAAATTGGTAAACGTAAAAAGGTGATGGCTTGTGCGAGTTGGTGTGAACAAGTTGATGTCGTCTCGAACTCTCGGAAACAGCAATGGAGCATGATGGAACTGGCCACCATTAGAACGGAAACGATACGTTCGCTCTGCAACCGAAGAGGTTCAACCCCAGATTGGAGCGTTGCGGTACGCCGGCGAGTTGTAGCTGTGAAGGACTCGATAGGGCTGGTCGCCGTTCGCGTGGACGCTGCGGCTCCGACTCCGGCTTCTGGAGAGGCCCGGCTGTACGGCGTTGGGAGGGTAATCCTGCTGCTGTTCCCATTGTTGCTGCTGGATATTTAAGAGTTGCTGTTGGTAGTAGCTGCCGCTTTGGCTCGGGTTCTGACTGGTGGCGGAATGCCCGCGTGCAACAGGTCCGCGGTACTGCGAGTAGCTATCATAGCTTGATCGATGGCGAAGTTGTCGCTGCTGCTGATGTTCCGTTGGGTTGGTAGAGGCGCTGCGCGTGACTGGGTGGCCGAATTCGGGAAAAGAGCCATTGGTAGGACGCCATTTGTCCTCGACTGTCAAACGGCGCCTGGCGTATTGCTGCTCAAGCATCGTCATACCCCTGCGTGGGCTCATTGGCGGGATGGGCGGCACAGAGAGAGGAGCGTCGAAAGCGCCTCCTGTCGAAGTCGATGGGTAGCTATGAATGGTCTCGCGGCTGTTCTGTCTCGACAAAATCTGTCTCCGATTCGCTTCGCTGGATGATGATGATTGGGGGCGCACTGGTATTGGTTTTCGGGGACTCTTGGTGCCGCTGCGGGTATGCAGACTGACTGGTGGTGAAGTTTTCCTCTTCACGGACATCTCGGACACCTGCAGGTTCTGAGAAGCAGGGTCGGAATGGCGGCTTGTCGGAGGCAAAGGCTCGGTAGGACGGAAACGCATGCCAATCTCACGCTCCATCTGCGCCGGCATTGTCAAAGTACGGCTATGTTGGCCCTGAACAGGCTGCTCATGAGGGAGCGCCATGAAAGCTTGATCGAAAGCACTCTTGCCGACGCTCCCACCGACATTGTCAATGGCCGTGATGCTTGACTCGAACCCGACCTGGATCTCATCGGCTCTCGACTCACCAACGAGCTCAGCCTTGCCCACGCCGCTGGAAGGTACTGGCTTGCGGTGGATAGGGCGCCGCGGCATGACAGAAGCGGCGGCCTGTGGGAATGAGGCCGGCATGGTCTGGAAAGAGCGGCGGTAGGGTGACTTGGGCTTCTCGGAAGGTCCAGGTGTCTCTACAATCGTTTCCCTCGCAACCTGGGTTGTGTCGGCTAGGAGCACAGAGCCGCGCTTGTCCGAGGCATGGGTAGCATCGAAACTTCCTACACTGAAAATGGTCTTGAGAGTCTCCTTGCTGGCCTGCGCACGCAGTGTCAATCGCTTGGTTGTGATAGGAAACCGCCCAGAATGTTCCTCGAGCTTTGACTGAACATCTTGAGGTACCGAGGGAATCTCTTCATCAGAAGGATGAGTTGCGTGAACAGCCGGGGGCCCTCGCATTCCAGAGCCGCTGAGGAATCTTTGCAGCTTGCCAGCTTTCTGCAAGCCACTACCGATGCTTAAAGAAGAATGAGGCTTTTCGGAACTGGCACCGGGGGATCCAATGACCTCCGGAGAAGCGGGTCCTTTTTCGGCCGCCTGGGCGCTGCTATTTGACGCCGGCGGCGTTCGATCCTTGCGGAACGAATGACCGGCGCTGAGGTTGAAGAAAAACTTGGGCGATGTAATCATCATTGTATTGCTAGTCGGAGAGGCCAAAAAATAGTCTTTCGGAGACATAGGCGTAGTAACGGAGGGGCGAGCTTGTGAAGGATCGACAGTGCGGTTGCCAGCCTTAATAGGACTGACTTGCTGGCTGTCGCTGCTGACAGCCGCAATCGGGGATGCAATAGAGTCTGACAGCTCATCGGCCGAATCCTCCGACGCGGTACGGCCAGTTGGACGGCTGCCTGCAGAACGCTGCTTGACATGGAAGGACCTCAGGGAGACATTGGAGCTGTAGCCGGAATCAGCCTTGGAGAGCGGTTTGGGCTGGTGCTCGGTGGTCGGGCTAGCAACGACTCCACTATCGGCGCGAAGAATTGCTCTGGAATGTTTCTGAGACTGGTCCGCTTTCAGTCGCTCGAGGCTTGGCTTCGCATTCGGGTCATTTCTGACCGTCAGAACCTCGGCCGAGTACTCCATTTGCACGTCTTCATCTTCTTCCGCAAAAAGGTCGTCTTCCATGGCTGTGTGTTTGGATGATATTTTCAACTCTGGACTGGGCGGCCTATATTTGAGTCAGCGCGAGCCGTCTCATGGTGCCTTACACAACATGGCGCCGTCTGCACGAATTGGCAAGGGAGACTACTAACGAAGTTGACCGACGCCTCTGCGATTCCGCCCTCGGGACCGAAGTCTTGATCGGACTGAGCGTCTGCGAAATAACACTGGACTGCACCGCCGAAACTGTGATTTCGATGTCCTTGCTCTCAAAGCCCACCCCGCCCGACCCGTTCTCGTGACTGAAATACTCCTCAATAGCAACCATCTGAGACTGTTCCATCATACCGGGTTGAAACGCTGGTTCAAAGTCAGGGCTTGGAAGAGGGCTGGCTTCTCCATTCGTAATTCGCAGCGAGCCAAACTTCATGGCCCCAAGCGGCCGGTAGTCCATGTCAGATGGGGTTAAGGCCCTTTCGACAGGCTCTACCACTGGTTCGCACAGATACTCGGGCTCCGAGGCGAATCTCTCAGCGACGTATTCTTCCAACGTCGGGATCGGATATGCGCTCGAGTCAATTGACAACGAGTTCATTCGCGATCGCCCTCCCGCTGGCGTGGTAGGCATACTGTGTCGCACGCTCGACCGTCTAGACGAAGGGTATTCTGAGGGCATTCGGGTCGCTAGACCTGGGGTTTGGATCATGGAACGTCGTCGTACGGGTGCATATAATGCCAGGTCCGAGTTGGCTCGGGGTAGCTGTGTGCTAAAAGATTGCGCAACGGATGGTTGGTGCGGATGTGAACTTTTCCAAGTATTCGGTGACACTTCGAACTTGCTCTCAGATACCATGGAGTTCTCTTCGCATGCGGTAATATCTTCGTTGAGATTGAGTAGTCTCCTCGACTCGTATGACATGAGATTGTAATTGATCGACTGGCGATTTCCGGGAACATGCCAACTAAGTCACCGTTTGTCAGTCGATTGCCAAGACATGCCAGGGAGCGGGAGTTGGTCATACCTTTCAACCTGCAATTGCCTGGAAGTGTCCATTTCTTGCTGGCTCTCCCAGGTCATTGAGTTTGCCCTCGACATTCTGTCTGGAACAGGCGGGCTCAGCAACATGCTCTCTCTCCGGTTCTGTTTCCTCGGCTCTAGAGAGCTTTTGGATCGGAACAAGCTCGCTCTGCGCTTCCAATCCCTGGCAGGCTTGACCTCTGGTTCCGCCATGGAAGAAGTGCTGGGTGCTCGGCCTATTGCACCAAACTGGGATCCGCTGGGTGCCGAAATTGGTGACGGTGCAGGCGAGGTTTGCTGAGGTAAAAGTCGCGAATTCGATCGAGAAGGTGGCAGGCTAGCGGATGCAGCACGATGTATGCTTAGTTGGCTGGGGGTTGGTAATTGGGGAGTTGGAGAGGCATGGTTGCCGACTCTAGGTTTCGACAGTTTGTGAGGTGATTTTTTGCTGCTGCTGCCGCCTTGCACATGTGAATCATGAAGCGACTCGGTAGACTGTGCATTGCCCATTTTGACACAGGAGAATGGGGTCTTGATGGTTTCCAAGTGCTTAACCAGGTGGCAAAAGTTTGCAGTCTGGTCAACGCAGAGAAAGTCGCCTTAAGGTGGGATGCGGATGGCAGTGCTCGAAAACGGCCAGCCGACAGAAATCTGGTTACGATGACACTGTTGAAACTGCCATGCCGCGCGGATTGTTCTCAAATTATCGACGTTGCTTCATGGGTGACGGATTCTCAGTTGGTGGCCTTCGAGTGATTTGTGGTTGGCGAGGATCGGGAAATGGTCTGATATTTGTCGACCCTTTGTGAGCTCTGCCCTGAACAATAGCAAGCTGAAAGAGTTGAGGCGACAACGGGGACAAGCGCGACCAGTGAAGCGAAGTTGGAAAGGGGGGGCACTCGAGGAGTCTACTAGATCACCACCGGAGACCAGCACGAAGAGAGAAGGGCGGTGGTGGATGGTGGGATAGGCGCAATTAAAGAATAGGTGGCATGGGTCTGAGCATATACCACCGGACCAGACCGAGCGAGCGTCTATCGATTTTGCCAACTCCACAAAAGGGAATGCCTGGTCTGCTAACAGAGTCAGTTGCCGGGGTGGGTGGCGAGTTGTGCAGGATTATACAGCAGCGGCAGGCATTCGTATGCGGGAGCAGGTGTCTCTGTCTGGGAGTATTGGACGGACAGCGACGGTCAAGGGCCGGTGCGAGTGCAGCAGGAATGGGCCTCAGATGGCATCTGAGAGATAGACATGGACACCGACAGGAAACCAGGAGGTGGAACTGACGGTGACGACGTACATGGTTTGAGACGCGCAAGGTGGGTTGGGGCACGGCGGAAAAGGGTAGAGTACCGCCTGCGGCAGCGAATAGGCAGGGCTGTTCCAAGTTCCAAGACTGGGTAGTTGCTGGCCCATGCAGGGCTGTAGTGGCATGCGTCTTGGCCGGCGGAACGTGGATGAGGAGGTACGTTGGCGTGGTGGACGGGGGTGAAGGGATGGAGTGCCAAGTGGTGTCGGACGGCTATCCGCAAGGGTGTAGCGGCATCAAGTTGCATCGAGGACCCAGCAAAGGCGGAGGCGAGACACAAGAGACCAGCAGAACGAGATGGTGATTGGCGATGATGGCTGGCTGAGGTATAGTGAAGTTTAAGGTGAGGAGGTGAGGGGAGACCCAAACCAGCAAAAGAAGCCAAAAGTACTGTGTGCCGGCGACAGTTCTTGTTGTGTGCGCGGCCCGGCTCAATATGGTGGATAGTCCATGGTGGATGGACGTCGAGACGGGATGGGGGATGATTATGGTATTTCGTCTGATTGATGCCATTTTGCGGTCTGGCCTGAGCCTGGGTAATGCAACCTTGGCGGAGACGAGACTAAAGGCTGCCCTTGTTCTGTGGTTGAGAAGACTCCACACCGGGCGTACAGCCTCTTCCCCCATCTTGGATGATATTTTGTGCAACCAGCAGAACGTTTACCAGTCCGGCGTCTTGCAGACTGCAGTACCTAGTCTATGGGGTCAGCCACGGCCCTCCGTCCAGTCCGGTCCACGGAGAAGCTGCCTTTGTGCCCGCTGAAAGGCTTCTGCGCCGCTGGCTGTGCGCAAACGAAGTATTCTGCCCCTCTCTGGCCCCTCGGCTCCGGACAACAGCTGGACTGGAATGATCTGATACAGTCGGGTTGACCAAGCGAGACCGGGGTGGAGTTTGATTGGGAGCGTCCGAGATGCAGCAATCAGAAGGGCAGACGGCCAGAGTGCAGATTGGATATGAGGTGACAATGATGTGAGGGGACTTGCAAGGCGTCATTCCATGTCTTTGATGCGCTAGGGCGGGTAATTCAGAAGTAGAAGGGAAGCTCAGCTGGAGGGAGTGTCAGTCGTGTCAGTGTAAGTGAGCAAAGGGACGGACGACCAACACGGCAGAGAGAGTGGGTGGCACCTGTGGCTCGGACGCATGTGGATGATGCATCCGGCAGAGTTGATTGGAGTTCATTCGACGACGTGACGCCTGGATCGAGGTTCTGGTCTGACGGTGCGATGGATACCTAGTAGAATCGGTAGAGAGAAAGTGAATGTGGTGTACGGCAAGCTCCAGCCATTGCTGCAGAGACCCTGATTCTTGGGAGTTGGCATTTCTTCGTCGTCATCATCATTCAAGTTGGCTGCTGATAAGCTGAACTTTTGGCTTTTGGGACCAGAGAAGGCAGGAAGCTAGCACTTGAATTGCATGGTGGCTTGCTCTTGCCCGTCTTTGGCGTCCTCAAGCAGCTCGGGATCCCAGAACCGGGTCGACCCCGCTTGCCCGCTTCGCACGCCATGAGGCCCAAGGTATCCCGTTGTGGCTTCTCCTGGGATATACTTCTTCTCCCAAGGGCCTCGAGGAGTCGTGGAAGTCCAGGAGTCAACGACCTCATCCGCTTGGATGGGGAATTTGGGGGCGTCAGACTCGCTTTGTACGGCGTCTTGGGCTTGTCTTAGCGGGAAGCCAATCGCTTGGTCTTCAAAGCTGTCTCTCGTGGATTCCCGCTCGCTAGAGACCCGGAAGGACGACTTGTCATGTTATGGCGGTCCAGCTGGCAGCCACCGGGGGTCATATCTCGTGGCCGTGTCCAGTCGACAAGCTGTTAGGGTGCGAGGGTGCGAGCGCGCGAGCTACCTTAGGCTACCTTACCTGCGTTGTTATCGGAGGTCTATGTCGGGTGGTGTTCTAGATGGGCCTCGATGGAGGCGCAAATCAATTGCCAAGTGCCGGATACGTACCTCCGGCACTGATCAGTCTGCTTAAGTAGGTTTTCGCCATCTTTCCAGTTTTCAGTCTTTTCAGGAAGCCGCATCTGAACAAGCAAGGAAAGTTGGGAGGAGGGTACCTTAGCTGCAGAGAGAAGCTCTTTCCCCGCTCATATGGGCAGATTCTAGATCAAGCCACCACGTTACGACCCTCCTGCCTCCTCTTGCCTCTTATCTTCTGCCTTCTGCTTCCTTGTGTGGTTTTTGGTTCCTGGTTTTGCGCGGGCCGCCTTCCTCCTGCCGGCGCTCGTTGTGCCATGTCCACGTTGCTGAGGTAGGTGCTTCTGAACGTAACCTCCTCCTCCTTCCTTGAGTATTAGCGAGTTCCTGCCTCGCCCAGACTGCACTTCGCTCTGGTTCGCTCGTCCTCCCCAAACAGGCAAGCTCTCCTCTTCCAAGGCCGGATATTTTCCCCAGCCCATCGCATCTACCAATTCCTCCGATGTCGACTCGCTTCCAAGTTCCATCACATTACATACCAGTACCAAATCTTGCGTTGGCCGGTCCGGTCATTTGCTTTCTCCCCGTTGCCACGTTTTCCAAGGGGTTTGCGGCGCAGACCTCTTGCAATGATCAGGTGCCAACAAGGATGCTTCCCCTCAACCATAGAGAGAGAGGGAGACAGGCACTGGCTACTCACTGCTCTTGACGTCCTTTGGGTGTGTCCGTGGACAAGCACGACAAGTCAGGCGTTCATCTCTGGTTGTCCCATCTCGGCCGCAGTCCGGGTTGTCTCTCTCTCTCGTTCTCGCGCGGCATGCATCTCCCTCCCAACCATGGAACCCAACCCGACCTTGACGAATTCCTTACGCAGCACTAGTGTAAGCAGCAGTGTGGCAGTATCCTTCGTCTGAGGCTCAGGTCTTCTCAAAAAGGGTGTCCGTTTCAGATTGGGCCACTTGACTTGATGGGTCACTCGGAAGTTGCAGAGACCAGCATATCCTCATAACTACCCCGGCTCGGCCACAACTCAGGCAACATGCTTGGTCAGGCCAACAGCAGTCCTCAACATCCCCGATCAATTCGTGCATGCGAAGGGGATGCCCGTCGTCGATCCTCGGCCGCCAACAGCCACTCTTTCAACGTCGGACAACGCAATCTGAGACCACCTACTCCCCGACACCGGCTCGTCACCATGGCCCTAGCGTGGCTTGCGATTGCAGTCAAAACTTGAGGAATTAGGTGTCGACATTCAGACGAGGGCCGGGCAGCGTCTTCGCTTCCTGCATCGAAGCACTCTATTTGGCACGCCATCGTCCTTCTTTTGTTGCTATCCCTCTGCTCGTATGACTGAGACACTAGCATTCTGTCTTTCGCTGTCGGCAACTCCCAAAACACCGAGACAAGATGCGCCAGTCGCCCTGTGATACCGACCATGGAGTACCTGCTCCCCGCCCAAGAGAGCCTCACCATCCGCGGCCAATCTCCCCCACTTAGAATTAGCTCTGTGCCCCCGACAAACAAGGTCCGGGGGCCTGTGAAATTGCCCTTCCCACTTCGGCTGCCTCCTCATTAGAGCACAGAGGGTGAGAGGCAAAAGAGAAAAGACGACTCATCAACATTTTATAATAGTCACACAGAGCTCATTGTCCGAAGATGCAATATAGCTTCTCCAGTTTCCAGTGTTACCGTCTCTCCATAACAAACGGAGAATACCAACGTAGGATGCTCAGGCTCATTCTGCTAGCTGCGTGTTGAAAACGTCATTTGCGCACACAAGGGCCCTGGTTTCCGGCCGGGCTGCTCATGCTGGATTACGAGCTGGTCCGCTGGGTGACACGGGCAACGGCCATGATCGAGATTGGCCATACCCGCACTGCAATGACTGCACAACTCTTTGAGCTATTCTCCGAATGGCCGGATTGACAGCAAGGGTGACGGCCCACGACTCACGCCATCGCGGTCAGAATTCTAGCGACGTTGCACGGTTGCAGTCGCCAAAGTGCGCGCATTTCCATACCTAGGCGCCGTACTATTGTATACCCTGGCGTGCCTGGCCAGGAGTGCCAGCCTCAGCCACGGCGAGAAACAAGACACTGCGCTGCTGCTATGCACTGCAACTCTCCCGCTCCCAGGTCTATTATCCGTAACGCCGTGGACCAGTATTCATGTCGCTCAATTCGCTGAGGATTTAGTATCCGGCGTTGACATGGGCTGCGCGCGACACGCCACTGGGTCTTTCTCGTTCGGCCGAAGGAGTAGACGGGTGTTCCCTAGGATGTCTTGAACTCCAAGGGCCATACCGGTTCGCGAGCGACCTGGCGAAGTATCGTCTACCTCGCTGGGCTTAAGCGGTGGGCAGTGTTTCCGCCATTCAAACTTATCACGTCTGCTATCAACCCGAAACCCACCAGCCCGCAGCACCACTGAGACTTCCGGATTGAACTGCGGATTCTTCTATGTAACCGGCGGTGATTATCGGCGACATCCTTGTATTTGGAGCGTCCGTCTTGCCCTCTGGTCGAGAATGTCAGGTAGGAAGGAGTTCTTTGGTGAACGGACTCTTTTACATGTCCAACTGCCATCCACCGGCTGATAGTGCCCACTCGTTCGGGGGAATCATACCGTTGGACCCAACTAATGCAGTTTCGTCAAATATGCGGTTGTTGCTCGTCGAATCACAAGGAGTCGGAGCTACCATGATGATCAAGCAGCACCGACGGCAAACGTTCCTCTTCGGAGCAGCTTCGGAGCAGATTGCAGATGTCGGCACGGCAAGCTCCACAAAATAAGGCCCGATGATCATGCAACCTGAAATGGCCGCGCTGTGAGCTATTGCTGTTTGGGCCGGATTGATCTACCGGCCATCTACGGATAGTTGAATTAATTAAGTAACCTTTTTAGGCTCCTGCCTCAACGCGACCGACGCGCGACAAGCTTCGGCTACTTGGGAGTAGAAATCATTGAGCATATCGCTAAATTCTCAACTTCATGCGAAACTTGCACCAGCGTTGTCCACGTCACTAAGTCCGCGATTGAGCGATTTCAAGCAACATGCTGCGGGCAAATACATCTCTGTCGTCTGGTCTTGAGTCAAGCCTTGCAGATGACCAACAATTACTCGATGCTTTTGGGGGCTGTGGGAGCCGTCGTCCAAACCATGCCTTGAGCCAGACACTTGTTGTCGCAGACATCGCTGCCAGTCGCCGGGAAGTCGGCCATGAGATGGAGGTAGGCGGACGAAATTTGGGCGCTCTAGCCCTCACAGGCGGCCTGGAAATTTGAGCCGCTGGGCTGAAAAGCTTTGATCGCTCGCCTGCTATCCAAGCGGACAGAGACACCAGTCAAGATAGCCTTGGTTGGTTTTCAGTTTGCCATCTGTCAACGAAGCGGAAGACCTAGCTGGAGAGCAACATCTTACCGAATTCCTAATAGCCCGGCCTGAGGATGGTCACATTTTTTGCCCCAGGAGACGTGGCATCTTCTGGCATGGACAACTATTCCGATTTTGCCGGAGCTCGACAACACGCACCTCTTCCACGAGCATGCGGATGTGCCTGGACATTGAGTCAGAGGCCGCATTGAACAGACGAAGTCGTCTTGTAGTCAAGGAGGTTGGGGGGGTTCCATGGACTTCCGGAACGTTTTGATCACCCCCCCGCCCTGAATGAGTCGGGACACTTTTCAAAGTCATCGCGCACGGGCAAAGGATTTCTCCATGTTTCAAAGCCGTTTCTTTCACAGAGCACAAATCCTATTATCCTGCCCGCCTCCCACGCCGAAGTATCCATTCTGCCGCCGTGGTGGTTTTTGAGTCGCGGAAGGGCTCCGGCGCTTTCACGGAGTTGGCCTTGCGATCCCCTGATAGCATGGACTCGCGTGGGCCATGTGGAGGTTGGCTGAAGGAACGCATTGCATGAGGTACGGACTAGATGTCAGGTTCTTTCGAACTTCGTCACCAGATGTTGCCATGTCAGAACTGGTTTCAAGCAACCCCATCGAGGGCATTTCACCACCTACCCAAGGTAAGCCGTTCGGCCAAAACACCAGTTGACGCCGATAGGAATCGAACCCAACTTAACCTTCTAAGCATGACCCCCGCCTTACTCGCTACCAAGCCATCTTGAAAGACGTCTTGTGTGACAATAGACAATTGAACAACAGGACCAAAGCTCTGACCGGGTGTTCGGGGTCCCAAGTTGAGCATCAATTCACCTGAGAGAGTATTCGGTTGCCAGTAAAAGTCAAATCGGATCAGTTTATGTATGTTACTGACCGTAATTAGTAATTAGACTGTTATGAAAAGCTCCATCTACCCCGTCACAAGTTCAACAGCTTCTCCTACACATTTCTTTTTCCACCTATAGAGTACGAGGTGGAAAACTGCTCAGGCTTTGCGCGTCAGGAGAAGTGTCGAGAGTTGAGCTACGGCACATGGAATCCCCAGAACAGCTGTGATCTCATAAGGTAGCGCAGCAGAAAGAAACGTTCACCACGACTTTCACTTCATTCTCCAATAACGTAGGTACAGCCTTCGTGTCCAATCCAGACTTCATGCACGCGGCCGGCGTCAATATCGATACGGTCGCCGACGCCATAAGTAACCTTGTCGGGGCTCTCGTCCTCGGGATAAGTAACGGTAAGGTTCCCTCGCAGGATCAGATGGGTCGTCAGACCACGATGCGAATGCGGGGAGTAGTGCGCGTTCCTAAGCTTTGATCGTCAGTTCGTGCATCCTCGGTTTCCCCTAGGGGGAAGGCTGAAAAAAAAAAGTTCCTGGATTGAGACAGCGGGCATCAATCACGTACGGTCCGTCCGTCCAGGTGAAGACATGAGAAAACCCCCAAGACCTAACTTCGGACTCGCTGTCACGCTTTGAATTGAGCTTATCGGACATGGCTACGATGTTGAGCGATTGCTGGCTCGAAATTTAGGTGTGATGAGCGCAGTGTCCAGAGATTTGCTCGCGGTGTGGCGGCGTGGGCGACGCAGGTAGACGGACGAGAGGTCACGATTGCGTCAGAGAACATCAGATGTCGAGTTCTGTGCAGGGCGGGGGAAGGGGTTCGCCTCGACCAGGTCCGGGAGCCGTTTGCCGGCGATTCCGACGCGACCGTAGGGTTTTGTCAGAAAACTGAGCTGAATAGAGTCGAAGGATTGCGCCGCTGAGAGACTTCGTTGGTGGTGTCGGTGTTCAAACGGCAGTTTGTCTGCCCAGGGACGGTGGTGGTGGTGGTCCGCGGGCTCGAGGGTCGGCTGCATTGTGGGGGAAGCCCGACTTTTGAGGTGCCCGACCCCACTTGTCCCCCGAGCGCCCGGATGCCGTGTGGCGACTGAAAATACGGTGGTTCCCGGGAGGCGCAGCAGCGGTGGCCGAGCAAACGAGATGCACAGGCGCCGGTGGAAAACGTTGTGGTGGCAGCAACAGCAGCGGCAGCAGCAGCCAAACACGGAGAACATCGGCCTTAGCCCCGCCATGCCCGCTCACCCTTGGCGTACGGGTGACAAGCTTGGAGCCCCTAGCTAGATGTATCGAGGTGGAACAGGACGACGGCACGACGGGACAGAGTCGCCACAAGGTCCTGTCAGGCCAAGTGGAGACGACCCGTGTAGGGACCGTGTCTGTAGACTCTGTGTGTCCGTTCAGCTCTTTACACCTTTAGCGTGCCCTGTCTTTTCGTGCCTCTGCAGGCTCTGCTGGCTTTCGCGGCTGCCTAGAGAGCTGTCCCCTCGGCCTTAGCATGCCTATGATATCACTTTCTATGGGCTCATGGGGATCATCCCTCTCTCCATACGAAGCGGCAGGGCCTCCACTAGTTAACGTCTGGTGGGGGTTTTACCCGCTTGACGAATGCTATGTTTAGCGCATCTCGACAGGGGACCTCGAGACGTCAATAGGGGCAAGGCTAAGATGGCAGGCGACAGTTGACTCGAAGTATCAGCCGCATTGCCGTTTTGCCGGGCCCGGTGACGAGATTGGGGCTTCGATGTTATGCGGACAGCACAGCAACAAGGCATGGTGAGTTGTATGCCATGGCAGACTGCACCTCACGGCAGGCGAAAATGGCTGAGTGCTTTTTTTTGGGTAGCCAAGGTATCCGGACGTCAGGCATTGAGCCTCCCGGTGTGCCCTACGAAGCACCACCAGTCAATCTATCAACAATAATCGACGCTTGTGTCTAATGCCAATGATTTCCCAAAGAGGTGCCCCGTAACATAGGTACGCCAGGGCAGACTGCGATTGGGGGCCAAGACTAGCCCTCTGCAGATGGATTCGGTGTGACGGCTCCGCTTCGCGATGCAGGGAGAAGAGAAGAGAGAGAGAGAGACACACACGCGCAGACTCCGCCCCTCCAACACAGGGCATCACAACTCCAACTTCCGTTAGACCAGGATTGTCAGTAAATGTGCCTTGTGACTGGTCGCGTCTCGGTTGGCACCTTCCAGTCCGACAATCATTATACAGAAGAGGTACCCAAGTTGTCTGACGATGATGAGAGGAACTATGCGATACGCGTCAGTCTCGCCAAAGTCAAGCATTCCTCAGTCAAGAGGAAATGGAAGATCTGCGGGCTCCGACGTGATCAACAACAAAACGAAACCAGGCGAGGTGCAGAGCTGAGAGCCCAGAACACCCGGCTCGAGAACCAAGGACGTGGATCCCGAGGAGGCCGTCCCTCAATGTCTCAATAGCCAGGCAAGGAACACCACCACACGCTAGAGGGCACCATCGACAGGGCAGTCGGGACCACCTTACAGCAGGGATCCAAACCTTCGGGGGCAGTGCTGAACCGTTCCCATTGGCCACTTGCATCGCTCTGCACCATCGGACGAGGCTGTCCCCCTCCAGAATTCAAGTGCGATGGAACGGGAACCCCATCACATTGGATCACGGTGTTCCCTGCCCACCCATGTTCTCAGCTATGCTGACATGCATATCCACGCTTCCCACTCTCGTTGAATTGAAACTACCCTTTGCTGGTCTCTCGAATGCCTTCGTTCCTCGATTCCTCTAATTCTCGAAAATCATCACCCACTCTCGTTCAACGACCTCTCAAATTCTCACACTCCCGTTCCTTCATCTCCCTAACCACTTCTTATCCCCCAAGTCCAATGGGCTAATGATATATGCACGCGCTCTCTGAAGCCGTACCCCTCTGTCCCCTAGCACCAGAGTAGGCTTATTGAGCAAGAATTACCCCCCTCCTCCGCGGCGACTTTCGGCCAGCTATACGCACAATCCATTCGGTGAACCCAGGCACATAGTAGAAGGAAGCTTGGGTAGGGAGGCAGGCTATCCAGCCGCTGCAGCTCGACCGCCATGTGTCTCTCCGTACGTCTCCTACCGAAACCCGAACTTGGGGGTGCGCTCAATGCAAGGCTCCGGCCTTGGTATTGCCTGCCTACCAATGCCTTTCCTGCTTCTTCTCATGCCTTTCGACGCTGGCCTCACAGCAGTCGTCAGTATTGAGACGAAGACTGACATACCATCTAGTTCTGGCGCCGAAAGGCCCCGAGCGACGAAAAAGCTCAGAAGAAGCGGAGGACACTCACGATGCCGTTGTGGTCCTCCTCCAACAAGACCTCCGCCAACACCCTCAAGAAGATGGTCGGCCTCACCACCCTCCTGGCACCTACGCGCGACGGCTTCCACTTCCCACCCGTCACCCGACCGATGCCCCTGATTAACATCATAAACGTTGACGGCGCTACCGACCCGTCATCCTCATCATCCGCCGCCTCGTACCCCAAGGAGGCCGCCCCGTCATCCAACCCCGACGAGATCCTGCTCAGCATCGCTATCCACAACCGCCTTAGGAAAATCTTTGACGACCTACGCTCCCGCCGTTCTTCACTATCCCGCGAACCTTTCGTGACCCGCGACCAGCTCCTCGTATTCCTCGAAAACACCCAGGGCGAAATCGATGTCGAGGCTGTATTGCCCGAGGATAAGGAAAGATACACCTATGGCGAGTTCCTAGAGACGTGGTGGAGCCATTATGGTTGGGACGCTACGCGCGCATTGAAGGAGGAAGACAAGGACTTGAGCCGGCCCATCACAAACTATTTCATCAGTAGCAGTCACAACACATATTTGGAGGGCAACCAGCTTGCCTCCAAGAGTTCACCCGAGGCTTATAAAACAGTACGTCGCACCATGTCTGCATTCGTTCAGCAGAGAGACGCCTTCTGACACGTGAGTTGCAGGTCCTCCGCCGTGGATGTCGATGTATCGAAATCGACGTCTGGAACGGAGACACCCCCATCACGACACAAGAGGGCAGTCGCTCTCCCAAACCCGACCACTCAAGGAATCTCTCTGGCTCCTCCCTTCCCAACGTGGCCGCGAGCGTCAAGGAAACGGTAGAAGATCTCCTGGTCGATCGAAACACCAACAGCAACGGCCACAACAGAAACACCAGCAGTGCCAGCAAGTCACTCAACCCTCGCGATAGTGCCACTCTGCTAGGACCGAGCGAGTCTACCGAGTCCCTCAGCAAAACCCTCCGCCCTTCATCCCCAACTCCCTCTGTAAAGAACCGTCTGCCGTATCCCAAAGATGAACCCATAGTCACTCACGGCTGGACCCTCACAACTCCCTGCGGCTTCAGAGAGGTTTGCAAGGCCGTCCGCGAATCTGCTTTCGAGACGAATGAACTACCCCTCATCGTCAGTCTAGAGGTCCACGCCGATAGGGAGCAGCAGGAGGTGATGGTCAAAATCATGAAAGAGGAGTGGGAAGGCATTTTGATCGACAAGTCGTGGGAGGGCATCGATCCCCGTTTCCGTCTGCCCAAGCTCGAGGAGCTGAAGCGCAAGATCCTCGTCAAGGTCAAGAAGGCGCCTAATAAAATTGAGGTCCCTCCCAGCACAACGGCCCTTTCGCAAAAGTTCGCCAACGATGAGGACGCCTCGGGATCCGACGACGAACGTAACAAGGAAGCATCGAAACCTCCCGCCACGCCGAAAATTGACGCACCGGTCAAGGTCCAGAGTGGAAACGAGCCGGCCAAGAGCACAAAGGTGGCCATTTGCCAGGCACTCAGCAGTCTGGCCATCTACACCCACAGCGAGCACTTTAAGAGTTTTGAGACGCCGGCGGCTAAGAAACCGAGTCACATCTTTTCGATAAGTGAAAACAGGATTCTAGAGCTACACACCACAAAGGCCCGCGAGATGTTCGCGCACAACAAAAACTTCTTCATGCGGGCTTTCCCCAACGGCTCGCGCGTCGACAGCTCCAACCCGGACCCCAGTCTATTCTGGCGCAAGGGCGTGCAGATGGTCGCTCTCAACTGGCAGTATCTCGACGAAGGAATGATGCTCAACGAAGGCATGTTCGCGGACGAGCTGGGATGGGTTCTCAAGCCCATCGGGTACCGGAGCTCTGACAAGGACACGCTGACAGAGGTCGACGCCGCGCCGCAAGGCGACATGGAGCTCACCGTTACCATCATCGCCGGCCAGCACATCTTTGTCGAAGACGATTCTGACAGCGACAGCAGCCGCGGCAAGCACCTCCGACCATTTGTCAAGTGCGAACTTCACGTCGAGATTGGGGCACAGAACGGAAAGGATGCTGACGAGGACGACTTCAAGCTGAAGACGGGATCAAAGAAGACTGACCACCCCGAGTGGGAGAACGGAGCGCGTCTCAAGTTCCCCAAGGTTTCGAGGGTAGTGGAGGAATTGAGCTTCATCAGGTAAGAAAAACCCACTGTCGCTTTCATTTGGCTTCTTTCTCCCTTCCCCCCCGGCAGCATGTTTTGGCTACAAGCCTTGACGATCCAGATTCGGGAAGACGGTGAAGGATGTGCGCGGCTCCGCGCCTACCCTCCCGCGCACGGCGTGTCCGACCTGCAGGCCTGAACAGCTCCGGCGGTGCAACGTTGTCTGAGTTGTGACGGCTCCCAACCCCCGGGATGGCCTGATTCATCCTCGGATGACATGCCGCGACCCGTCACGCTCTCGTCCCGTCGCAGGCGCAGGAGTCAACGCTCGTGGAATGACGGAGTCATCGATACCCTTCAATGCAGTGTGACCGTTCCTTCCCGTCACGAATCGCTTCCCGTCAATACTCACCTGCCAGGCGGGCCGCTGCGTTTGACAGCCGGGGCCGCTGCCACACCGCAACGTTCTTCTCCCGCGTCTCTGCATCTGCGAAAAGCCTGGGGAAATTGTTATGAATGGGCGACTAACTCCTGTTGCCGCGCAGATTCAAGATTGAGAATGATCCACTCCTCGGCGGCGATGAGCTCCTATCGTGGGCCTGCATCCGGCTCGACCGTCTACGTCCCGGCTTCCGCTTCGTCAGGCTCATGGACACCAAGAATCGACCGATTGAAGGTGGCAAGCTGCTCATAAAGATTGACAAGGTGGTGCGGTAAAAAAAAAAAATTGATCCATGTCGTATAGCTAGCTGGATTACAGAGAAGCTGCGACGCGATGTGGCTGGCAGGCTCTCAGAAGATGAAAAGAGCCGCTTTTCCTTTTGTCTAGTTTCCGCAGGTTTGCTTGGAAGCTCGCGATGTCGTTGCATAACTGATGGGGGGGAAAGAGGCGTGGGAGGGCGTCTTTCTCCATGGCGTTTGTTCTTTTCCTTCTCTTTCTCTATGCGCAAGCGATACCTATTTTCTACCACCCTACACTATTCATTCACCTAGAGTTTCAGGTCTTTTGGTTTACTCATCCTTTCTTTTTCTTGCTCTACTTTTCCTTTTCTACGCATACACTATACGCGCGGCACATGGGCGGGTTTTTGTGCGAGTGGTGTGCCTCGGGGGAGTTTTTTTATTTGGATTTGGATTTGTGTTGTTTAGGGTGACACGGCGAAAGGACTCGAAGCATTTCAAATTTCCATTGACATCTCTCAACGCCCCCCTTCTTCCTTTTTTTTTTATTTTTGTTAAGAAACTTTCTTCGTCCGTGTAGGGAATGGCAAAAGTGAGACTCGGAGGGAAAACAACGGAGAGACAACAGGTCATTTCAGAGTCATGAGAGTCATTTCCTATTTTTAGGGGGGCGGGGGCGGTGGCGAGGGGTGTTTTTATTTTTTTTTCTTTCGCATTCTTAAGAGAAGGAAAACCTTGATGAGGTCAGCAGAGCGAAAGCGAAGAGGCTCAAGAGGAGGATAGGATTAGGTACACGTCGTGGACAAGGTTGGTCTTGGGAAAACCAAGGTCGCTGAGATGAGACACGCATGAGAGACAACAAACAGGGCGGGAAAAGGACGAACAGCACACATACAAATACACAAACCTGTGGGGCGCCGATCTGACGCAAAGAAAGCGCGAGGCGAAGAACCAGACCCAACCGTACGTAGTGGAGAGGAAATAGACAACCAAGGGGGGGGGGGTCTCACCTACGCATCTAACCATTCAACCTAATTTGTCTTCTTCGAGTTGGGTGTGAGGCGGGAGGGAGCAAATATCCAATTCTTGACTGTTGCTCCGTGACCTTCCATTCTTCTTTTAACGGCTGACTCTATATCCCTTCCTAGCTTGGTAGAACGGTTTCAGTCTTGTACAATGTGACCGGATTTCGGGGAGGGGGTGAACGGGGCATGTGCCGGCCGCCTGAGGCTTGACCGCCACCGCCGAGAAAGATCTGTCATTTATGAGTCTCGACGAGCGAGTTATGAAGATGGGGTAAGAGAAAGACTTCTGTCTCTAGATTGCTGTGTAGCAGCATCATATAACAAAATGCCAACGCATGTCAACATAGAGGATGCAAGCGGATACCTGCGAACCTTGTTCGGGACGTGCAGGACGGCAATGCATTTCGTCAATGGCATGTCGGCCGTATCGTCAATCTATACCAGCCTCCCTTCCCCGACTGTCTCTCCGTGTGTGCTTTTCCACTACTTCGCTATTTTCAAGGTTCGTAACCATCAGGGTAGCTGTTGGGTCTCATCAGCATATCATGGATGAGGTTCTTCTTCTTCCTGCCTCACGTCGCACCTAGGCAGACATGCTTCTTGTTGTGTGACGCCGGGGAAGAAGATATTCGACTCGCGGACCAAGGAAAACACTGTCGAGGGAGCACAACACCACTGTCAAGACTGTGTGACCTGGAATAAAATGATACATGACGGAGCAGGGTTCCAAATTGGCGGGCGTCGTATCTGATCACCAGGAGACCCATTTTCTGTGGTCGATATCGGATGAAAGGTTCCCTCCTCTTTCGGCTGCTTCGACGGGAGTCGGCCTCTTTGAGCCGCCGTGTAACGACTGTTGCTCTGACTCCATCCCCCGTTTCCGTGCCAAGAGGCCTGCACCCGAACTTTTGCTCGTAGAGGCAAGGTTCTAGACTGCTTCCGTCCGTCTTGATGTGTTGGTCGTCTGCGACAAATATGGCGCTCAAGAACCCACAACCCCCGCGGTGAAGGCTCAACACACGACGCTTCAGCCCTGCCCGGCTGTTGCGGCTTGGCACCGAAAGATGCACGATTGGCAAGCTTTCCTGCCTTAATACCTAACCCGGTGGCACCAGTTGTGGGCTGCAGGCTCGGCATAGGGAAGCAAGCCATCGAAAGAGCAGATGAAGCTAAGCGGGAGCGCGTCGATCCCCAGGAAGTCTCAACCCGCTGTGGCGGTCGTGACGGTGTAGCCAAAAGGTGAGGTCCCCAGTGTGGCCGTTGATCATGAGACAAGTCATAACGTAGAAGAAGAAATAATGTGCAAAAGTCATCCAATGGAACCTTTTTATCCTGCATGTCTGTGAGACAAGAAGGAATAATCACCGTCATGTGCAATCATAGTGCCGGACTAGATGCTATCTGGCGCGGCCCGACAATATACAACTTTGTCAGTTATCACCGAAGGTAGATTTGTCGGTGCGACTGATCAGACAAGGCCAAGGGGGATGGATGCTCCTGGAATAAGCAGCCTCGGCTGCAGGCTCTGGGTAGGCATCTCGACGCGCCATCACCCCAAACCGTCAAGATGAAGGCAGGGAGCCCGGATTGTCAACTCGGTGATGATCGGAAATAGGCTGTCTCCCCGTCCCCAACGGGTACCAATGTCGACAAAATAAAGTTGACAGTACCATGCCGCGACATTGAGACAGGCGATTGGTGGTTACCTGGCGTTGCGGGAACTAGGGCGGTGTAACAAAGCCGTCACCAGGCATCTAGCCTTCAAACACCAGGACATGGACATGACAAAGATGTTCGAGATACCTAGGCATGCAGAGAGCAAGGGTCCGGGAAGTGAGACATGCATTTGTTCTGTCAGTTGGGAGAGTCGTTTGGCGGGGTCGTCATCGAAATCTCTCTTGATCTAAAGATACCGTTGGGGATTGAGTCTTTGGCCGGTTGTCAAGATGCAATGACCCGCCATTGTCTCTTGGTTTTGTGACTGGCCATGTGGTACGGATGCAGTGGCCGCATTGCTGCGGGCGTTTCCGACAGTCTGGTTGACTAGCTGGGTATGCCTGTCGTCCACGAACCGGTAAGCGAGATTTTGGTGTTGTCAATGGAGATGGCCAGGAGATTGAGGGAGGGATCGATCGTAGATCTGACGGAGCTTCAAGACGGGGGCTGGCCTGAGACTTGAATTCCAATCTTGCGTCAAATAGTACTCTCTAGGTCTTGCGCAAGGAGCGGTGATTGCTATGTGGCAGGCACCTGGACTTCAAGTCTCGTGGCGGCAAGGCGTTTACCAGGCCAGGAACCAGAACAGCTGAACCAGAAGACGAAACAGCCGTATTCCTTGTTGGGGATCCCAGCGATTGGCGTTGGGCGTTTTGATGAGACATTAGCCCATCGGAGCTGGAGACCGCCAAAACACCACGTCTCTCCGGATGCTTGCATGAGTATGCAAGCTCCCTCACCGCAAGGGAGCCGTCGTTATTGGTATGCAGTCGTGGGAAATTCGCAATATTACGTAGATAAACCTGCTTGTTCCCCCTACTTGATGCCAATTCTGGAGCAGACACTGGAGCGCTTAACTTTGAAGTTTCGGGTTTGATGCGATTCGGGCAATATTGACCGACCTTTCCGACTGTAGACGAAATTCTGCGCAGCAACACGTCCGTGTAGGAACGTGGCGGCTCTTCACCATGTGCCCCTCAAGTAGCATTTCTCGAGCGCAACCAGCCCGTCGAATTCATTGAAAAGCGAGAACGGGCAGAGAGGATGTCTTGATTGGGCAGTGAAGCTTCGTAGCGGGAGATGTGGTCGGGTCGATGTGACAGATCATTTTCTGTCATTCGATTGCAGCCTCACTGAAATTAGCAGCGGCGGCTGGACAATGCCGGGCTTGCACCGATTTTCGATGAGAGACTGACTGACTGATCGACCGCGCATCTCGTCTACGAGATGATAGGTCACATCGGCACCTCGATTTGGTTGATGTCCACGCAGTAGGTGGGTATTGAAGTACCCCAACGCCCACCGAATCTGACATTGAATTGCATTACATACAAAGCTGCCGGCACGAATGAGCAGGCCAACTGTTGGAGGCGTCGACTGCCAGATGAAAGCCGCAGGATGCGTGTCGGTACGTGTTTGGTACGTCGGCTAGTCGCAGTGGTCAGTAGTCGATACGGGTTGGAGGCTCGGAGCGTGAGCATTCCGCTAGTGGTGGTCACAAATGACAACAAGGGTATTTCGCCGAGGACAATCGACACGTCGATTCGCCTGTTGGGAATTTGAAACCAAGATGTGTGAGACATGAGATTGTCTGATGGTGCTCCTGGGCCATCGCCAGTTGTTGTCGATTCACATTTCGGTGACGATGGAATCGGGATTCTGAATCCAGACCCTGCGACGATTGTCGGTGAGTCTACCCACATGCATTTGGATGATCGTCTGCTATTGAGTCGGTCGGTGTGAATTGGGCCACATGGCCAACCGAAAGTACCAGGGCGGAACAAGCCGCGGCACCGTACTCGTCGGTCAGCAAAGAGCTTCAGTCCTTTACAAAACTTGTGCCAAGCACAACTTACACACCTACTCTCGTTTTACAAGGGTCTTGGTGCCATTGCTTCAGACACATGACGGGACGTCTGCGAGAACAGTCGGAATGACGACCGGAGCCCCGAAAACGTATGATCTCGTGTCTTTCGGCAGGGCTGGTGTTATGCGGTGAAATGCAAAGACGTTGGAAAAGGCCACTGCGACGTCATATCGTGACCCAATCTTGGCGCATGTGTCAAACTTCGTTGGCGTCGCTTGGACCAAGGGCGGGCTGTGGTACAAATGTAACTTTTTGCGGCCTCGTATTGCGGTCTCGTCACGCGGCGGCAGCGACATGCAGCGTCTGCGCAACGTAGATCGCGGGATGTGAGGGCGGATACGGCTCGCCGTCAAAGTCTACGCGGCCGATCACGGTGCGACCACCTTGAACCAGCTTGCTGGGATGAGGCTAGGCTTCTGTCCTTTGCAGTAGTCGGTGTGCTACGACCACCAGCTCAGCTGGTGTTGTCGTTAACATTCCAGAGGGTGTGTCAGGATTGTCAGCGTGTCGAGGTGTAAGTCCATCAACTGGAGCCGCTGCATCGCGGACGATAAGTGAGATCCCGCTAGCCTCGAAATGACCTACTGCTCGACGAGCAGAGACGGCAGATAATGTTCAAGTTCCCAACTGACCTCCTCCATTTGGGGGCTGGGGCGCTCGTCTACGTCGAGCCGAGCCGAGCTGCTCGCCTGCCTCTACTATCGACGGTCCATGGCGGTGCGTACGGTGTGGAAAGACGTCAAGGACACCTTTGCCGTCCCAGTCGGACGAGAGAGAGCACATCGCCATTTTCCATTGATGGGCAGCCTAGTTGTTGCAGAACAGCACGCTAAGGGGCCTTGGTCGAGTAAAAGGGAAAAGGAAAAAGCAAATATGCGCAAGGGAGCCCGTGGAGCAGGTACTTGGAAAAGAAAGCGGATGAGTGCGCCGGGTGGAGACATGTGAGTGGGATTTGAACCAAACGCGAAGCTTGGGGCCCATTCGGAAAAGAAAGAATGGCGGATTCCATCAAAAAGACGGAAAAGTAAAAGCGACTGAGGAGAGGAAGAAGCAGACGAAATAGAAGAAGAGGAGCAAGCGTTGCGGCGGCCGGGTAATGGCAGCAGAACCTTGTGGAAAACTCGGAGGGGGCCAGTCCCACGTCGTACGTTTGCAGCCTAGAAGAAATGAAGGGATAACGAGGCAAGGGATGGAAAGAAAGCAAACGCAAAAGAAGCTTTGGCACTCTGTATCGTGAAAGGAAACAAAAGAAAAGACGTAGGGGAAACGGGGGCTGGTGTTTGCTGTACGTCTCATGTCTCTTGCCATCGTGGATCCACTGCGGTTTGGAGCTCTGTTCTGTTTCCAATGCAATCAGAGAGAGGAGGGGACCGAGGGGTGACTCGGGGAGCGCAATGTAAAGAAAGGAAGCAGCACCTGACGCAGGGAACCACATTCCACGCTCTGGAAATCTCGGTAAAAAAGGATGTCGACGGTCGACCCCGGATCGTAGTTTACGTTTACATGCTTGGAACGTCACGGTACTCATGGTACGTACTATGTATACACGTAGTCGCTTTCCCTTGGACCTCCAAGATGCGGATGCCATGCGATGCAAGAGCAAGAGCTCTTGTTGTGAGAAGACGCATTCCTTATTTCCTTCTTTCTTTCTGCATGTGTCGTGTCCGTCGAGTTTGCCGGATGTACATGCATGCAAGAAGATGACCCAGCATTTCTGTATCCCGCCCCCCCCCCCCCCTCTCTCTCCTCACAAGCGTAAGAAGCGCAGAGAAGAAACCCCTCCTATGCTTCTTCCACATTGACGCGGGGGTCCTCTCTTGTCGCTCTCCCTTGACGCTTGCTACACACGTGTTGACCCCGCCCGAGTGCATTCTAGGCAGGACTGGGGTTAACGACGATGTTCCTAGTCATTCTCATAGCAGAGCTGAGCTGAGCAAAGAGCTGCGCATCGGAGCTTCAGCCCTGACGCCTGACAACTGGCCTCGGCGCTTGCTGACGGTCCAGACTCGCCATGTGACGGGAACAGATGAGGATCAGCATGTTAGAAAAGCTAGACAGGTCTGGAATAATTCAAATCTGGGGGAGGGCATGGCTCGGCTGCGTTATGGTGAGATACGGTCGAGGTTCGAGATTCAGCTCGAGTCGAGGGCCGCCCCCAAAGGACGAAAGTGGTACCTTGGGTAGTAAGTGAATTGCGCGAGAGTGACGGAGGGCGCCGCGAATTGGACAAGCGACCTAGGTGAAAAGGAACGCAATCGACCAAACCGGTACAACTGATTGTTGGAGGGTTCGAAGTGCGAACGAAATGTGGGTGTCAGATCTGGTTACATCTTAGCCCTGCCTGGGATGATCTAGGGAAGCAGGGGCGAGGTCTTCCGCCTCAACCAAACCCACCCACCACTCCATGGCACCAACCACCATCGCTAGGTACCACAACCAACTACATCGACAACCGCAGCGGTTGCAAGATCCATCGGCCTGCAGCCTAGGTCAATCAGAAAATAAAAGATCCCGGTACGTGTGTGTAGGTGTGTGGGTGCGTGTGTGATTGGGAAGAAAAAAGTGCGATATGTGAGGAGATGGAGGAGTTGGAGGAGTTGAGCGAGATCCATGGATGCAAGAGGGGTGTGTGTGGTGTGCTTGCGCGCACAAGCCCATTGCAAGCCACCAATCGGGCTGCCGCCGGCCACAATCACGGTGAAGGGGAGCTTCACCAGCCGCGATGACCCCTCCCTCCCACCCGGGTCCCCGAAAG